AAAAAAGCAGGGCAAAAGCCCTGGGTTCAGACCCCCAATACTGGAAAAGAAAATTTCCCATTTTAAAAATTGTAGCTATCCTAATGGTTGCATCAAGCTGGTTTCCCCCCTACTTTTTGTGCTCTTCCCTTTCCCCACAGCACACATCTTTTGGTCTTTTTATGTGACATGTGTGTAGCACACTAACTCCGATTGTGTGTCTGTGATGTCTGGATGCAGCTGTGTGCTCTCGACCATCAATCAGGATGTCTTTGAAGGGAATTGCCAGAACTTGAGGGGTGCGCCCTCTATGGGTGGACAATGGCATCTGCGTGATTATCTGCCTTAATTACATACTGTGTCAGCGGCAGGCGGTGTGACCCATGCAATGAGTCGGTTTTGCATGGAGCTGTGTGGAATTCTGATTTGATGATGTACAGCTATGTATGCAGCTATATTATCATATACACCTACTTGGGATGAGTAGATGGTCCTATTTTATGTTGTGTCTGATGCTATCGAAGTGATTGATGGGATTGTGTGACTGCATCTTCAGTAGTTAGAGGATAGCCTGATGTGGTGGCACACGCCTCTAATCCCAGGATTTTGAGGCCTGAGGGAAGAGGTTTGCCATGAGTTCAAGGCCAGCCTGGGCTACACAGTGAATTTGGGGCCACCCTAAACTATACACCAGGACCCTATCTCAAGACAACAAAAATAAAAGGGCTGGGGATTTAGCTCAGTGGCAAAGTGCCTGCCTGGCAAGCGCAAGGTCGTGAGTTTGATTCCTGGTACTGGAAGAAAACACACACACACACATACACACACACATACAAATAGGAGAATATATCCAGGAATCGCCTTGTGTCTGGGCCTGGCTGCTTCTGGATTTGTGCCCCATGTGGGGAAGGAGCTGAGGGTGTGTAAGAGACGTCTCCACTGTCAGGTTCTATGAGAGATGTCCGTAGGAGACGCAGTCCCCTGTAGCCAAAGTGTACCAATGGGACAGTGCGACTGTTTTAGCAGTGTCTGTCATTATGAATTCTGTGTGCTCAGGATTTCATGGCTATTATATTGTTATGCTAAGCAATACAGTATAACAACTATTTACATAGCACTTACAGTGTATTAGGTCTTATAATTACTCTAGAGAGCTGGGCATGGTGGTAACCCTGACTACTCAGAAGGTGGAGGCAGGAAGATGGAAAGTTCAGGAAGTGCCTGGGCAACGTAGTGAGATCCTGTCTCACCATAAACAATGAAAAGGGCTGGGGATGCAGCTCAGTGTGAAGGCCCTGCCTGTCCTCAGCACCACACATGGGTGTTCACAAGCACTCGCGCTTGTGCACACAGACACACACACACACACCTGATCTGAAGTTGATTTAAAGTCTACAGGGACATGTTCATGGATTCTACACAAATACTGTGCCATTTAATACAAGGAACTTACAGTTTTTAGTATCCATGAGGGTCCTGACACAACTCCCTGTGAGTACCGAGGGGCAACTATCTATATGCAGAGGTCCTGTGGTCTGTGTGGCTGAGGGACCAGCAACTTGTGCCACTCAACTGCATGGCTGTGTGTGGCTGTGAGCTATGTCTCTACAATACGTGTCCATGCCCCCCGCCTCGGGCTCAGGCCTCCAGAGCTGAGGCGTCTCTACTAGAACATCAGGTCCTTGTGCATATGGGGCCCAAATCCAGCAGCAGCCAGGGCCAGGGTATGAGTCTCTTGCAGGTCAGGTGCTGCCTTGGTGATCGAAAGTCACCCTGTCCCCATCTCCTGCAGCAGCTGTAATGCCACCAGCCTCGCTCCCCACACGGTGTCCCTGGAAGCTCCAGGGTAGGCAGTGGTGGGCTAATTGGCCGGGGCTCGCTCCCACTGAGGGGCTCAGACCCTCGGAGTTCACAACCAGGCAATTTAAAGCCACAGGAATGTGCAGACCCAACCCCCAGCCCTCCCACTCACCAGGGGACAGAGCTTTGGCTGTGCTGGGGCCCCCACCTGATAGCAGCCTCCAGCGTCTGGCATGGCTGATAATGCGCTGCAGGGAGTTCGTGCCAAGTCCCGCCATCAGCACGTTTGTGGCTGTCTTTTGGGGAGGGGTAGAATTGTACAGCCTCACTTAGGGGATACAGGGTCCCACAGCTCCTTCCCAGGATACTCCCTGTGCATCTCACCCCTTCTCCGGGAAGGTAAACTGAGAGCAGGCCCCCACACCTGTGCTTCCCCGGGGACTCTGCCTGTGTTTACCTGGCTCCTGGACCCCCCCGCCCCAGGACCTGCCAACCCCTGACATCTTGACTTGGCCTTGGATATAGGTCTGTCTTTAAGGCCCAGTTCTAAACAGGCTGAGATCTATTCCCCAGAAGTGGTGACCCCCCGCCTTGCCTGGGCCTTATCAGGAGCTGCAGCCAATCAGCTGAGGGCAGAGAGGAGCCCTCCAAGGGGCCGGCTGAGCCTCAGAGCCCACGAGGCAGCCACGGGAGCAGAGGCCTGAGGCCCGGGTGGGCACCTTCCAGCCATGGCCACCGCTGAGACTGCCCTGCCCTCCATCAGCACGCTGACCACCCTGGGGCCCTGCCCCGACACCCCAGAGGACTTCCTTAAGGTGCTGTCAGGAGGGGGCCAGGTGGGCCAGGGAGCCAGGGATTGACTGTCAAGCTTGGCAGTTGGGCCTGCATCTTGCTTTGGGGTCCCCCATGCGTCCAGGTCAGGGGTCTGAGCGTGGTCTGGAGGACGGGTAGCCTAGGGGTCCGAGCTCCTAGGTGTGGCCTATTTCTGTAACGAAAAGCTAAGCTCTCTGCTAAACCCCCTATAGGTGTAGGCTCAGGGGCACCATGTCCCAGCTATCTGAAGGAAATGGTGAAGGTGCCTGGGAGAAATCCAAGGTTCAGGAAGGAATCGGGAGATGGGAAAAAGGGGGAAGGTCTGGGGGAAACTGAGTCAAGGCTGGGGTTTTTTTTCCCCTCAGCCATCCCTGCCCCCACCCTGAATGTGGGTCCAGATAATGGAAGTCTTATCTCCTGTCTCCAGCCAGACCTGACCGACCTCTGTCTTGAGCTGAGCGAGGCAGTGTGGGGAGAGACAGGCAAACCAGACTCCTTTGGGGAGCCTCTGGCCAGACTGCCCCTCGGGGTGTCCGGCCCGCACGGTCCTGGGCCGTGCCGGTCCTGGGCGAGGCGCCCCGGTATCTGCGGACGCCTCAAGCCCGCGCTCCCTCCCGCAGTGGTGGCGCCTGGATGAGGCGCAGGACCTGGGCCCGGGTCCCCCGGACCCCATGGGGCCGCCCCTTCACGTGATCCCGGAGTCGGAGGACGCCCCCGAGGAGGACGAGGACGACGACAGAGACGCGGATCCCACCTGGGACCTGGATCTCTTCCTCAGCAGCTTCCCAAGCCCTGACCCAGGCGGAGCGCCCCGGACCTGTGCCCTGAGCCCTACCGAGGCAACCGGGGTGCAGTACGCTCCGCCCCCCGAGACTCTGGGCGCCTATGCGGGCGGCCCGGGCCCGGTGCCGGGGTTCTTGGGACCCGAGGAGCCAGCGGGCTGGGTGCGGGCCTCGGACCCCTTTGCAGCCCCGGGTCCCAGCCCCGAGCCCAAGGCCCTGGCGCTGCATCCAGTGTACCCGGGGCCGGCGGGGGGCTCCGCGGGCAGCTTCTTTCCACCGGCCGGGCTTACACTGCCCGCGGCCTCGGGCGCCCCCTATGGGCTGCTGCCAGGGTACGCCCCGCTGTACCCGGCGCCCCAATACCAGGGTCACTTCCAGCTCTTCCGCAGGCACCCGGCGCCCTCGCCCAGCCCCGCCGCTCCCCCTTCCTTCCTGGGCTGTCTAGGGGCCGGGGCAGTGGGAGCCAGACTCGTGGGAACCGCGGGAGACCCCGGCGTGATCGCCGAAGGCGCCTCCCACAAACGCAGCCGGCGCTCGTGGGCGCGCAAGAGGCAGGCGGCGCACACGTGCGCGTACCCGGGGTGCGGCAAGAGCTACACCAAGAGCTCCCACCTGAAGGCGCATCTGCGCACGCACACGGGTAAGGGGGCGGGGTCCGCGCGGGAAGGGGTTCGAGCGAGGCGCAGCCAGGGAACGGGAAGGGCGGGGCCAAGGGCAAAGTCCGGGTCCAGACGTCGCAGAGCAAGGGACGCGGCTGGGTGAGCGTAGGGGTTTCTAAAAGCTCAGCGGGGAGGGGCTGGGGATTTAGCTCAGCGTCTAAAAGCGCCTGCCTGGCAAGCGCAAAGTCGTGAGTTCGGTTCCCGGTACCAGAGAAAAACCAAAAAAAAAAAAAGCTCAGCGGGGAAACCCAGACCTCAGGGCAGCGACGCAGGAGACGGATGGGGACAGAGAGTTTCAGTACCGGAGCCAAAGGAAGAGTAGAAAGCGGGACGAGTAGCTTAGGGGGCAGAGCCAAAGGAGGGACTTCGGAGAGGGTGCTAGCTTGGAATGCCAGGGGCGCGGAAGCCATGGCCAGGAAGGAGTATGCTTAGACTTTTGGTTGCTTAGCATGGAGGTGGGGCCAGAATGCAGAAGGCGTGGCTGAAGCTCTGGCGGTGAGGCAAGAGGCCGCATCTGTTGAGAATGGGTCCCAGACATCCATACAGGACAAAAGAGTAAGAGGGAAAACTTGGCAGAGGACATAGGAGGTAGGCACTCTGGGAGGCCGAGGCAGGAAGATCTCAAGTTCAAGCCCATCCTGGGCAACGGAACAGCTTAATGAAACCTGTCCAAAAAAAAAGGCCCAAGCCTGGGCCTGAAACAGAGGATTTGGGGGCTCTGAGACCTAGGCCAGGGGCAAGGTTGGGCAGCAGCTGGAGGGCCCCCTAGTTTAAGGAAGGAGCTGGAAACAGGACCGGACTGAAAGCAGGAGTGGGGCAGTAGATGGAAGCAAGTGCAAGGGCCTAGGGTGCGGGAAGTGGGGCGGGCAGGGGTGCAGAGGACGGGCTTGGGCCCAGGAAAGGAGAGAGTGTGCCCCAGCTGCAGGTACAAGGAAGAAGGGTCCAGGTCACTGGGTAGGCCCGGCCCTGAAAGCTAGTGCCTCCTTAAATTCTGCGCCTTAGATGCCCCTTTGCCTCCCCTAGTCGTGGCCCAAACTGAGTAGTGGGGTCTTTCACATGCAGGGACCCCAGGGATGCGGTGGGTCCTTCGCTGGCACTCAGTGCCCCTTGCCCCTCAGGGGAGAAGCCGTACGCCTGCTCCTGGGACGGCTGCGGCTGGAGGTTCGCGCGCTCTGACGAGCTGACTCGCCACTACCGGAAACACACGGGCCAGCGCCCCTTCCGCTGCAAGCTCTGCCCACGGGCCTTCTCGCGCTCCGACCACCTGGCTCTGCACATGAAGCGGCACCTGTGACCCCGCCCCGGGGCTGGGTCCTGCCAGGGGCAAGGACGGAGCGAGGAGGGACCGGTGCAGGGCCGGTTTCCAAGGACAGACCCTTGCTTGGATTCACGTCCACAGTCGCGGCCTCCTCCACCGCAAGATCCAGAAGTGACTCAGAGAGACCTGGAGGACCTACAACGGGAACCCCCCCATGTCCCCAGCTACAGGGAGCCACGCAGGAAACTCTGACGGCCACAATGACCCCCAGATCAGCAGGCTCAGAAGGAACCTCAGACCAGCGCCAAGGCAGCTCTGGAGGGCGAGAGAGGGGGAGACGTTCCCGGAGCCTGGGTCAGCAAAGGCTCCACATCAATGGTTATGGGTCCCCCAAAACGCCCTTCCCATATAAAGCTTCAGCGTTGGCATGACTCTGGGTTTTGGGTGCTGCAAATTGGGAGGAGGCTGTACCAATATAGGGTATACGGGAACGGGCGGGCAACCTCCTATGTCCCCTCCCTTCTTCAGGAAAACTCCCCTTTCCCCTACTCCACCAAAAGCGTAGGGAGTCTAGCTCCGAACCCAGGGTCATTCACGAGTCTCCCTCCATTTAAGAGCACTAAGCCGGAGCCTCGTGTGCTAGTCCACGCCTGCAATACCAGCACTCTGGGAAACTGGGCCAGAGACTGAGCGATACTCTTGTCTCAAAATAAAAAATTAAAAAAGTACTGGGGACATAACTCAGCGCAAAACTCCTGGGTTCAATCCGCAGTACCGCAAACCAAACCAAACCAAACCCTCAGCCCAACCCCAAAGCCTCATCACCCTTTGCCCAGCCACAATGCAAAGTGACCCCTTGGCTAGTTCAGGGGGAGCTCAGGACTTGCAAAATGAAAGGGAGGAGGACCTGGAGTGCCCCTTAAGAGAGCAAAGATAACGAGAGTTTGGCTCAGGTTCTAAGCCATGAAAGGAAAAGAAACCAAACGTGCCGGATTCAAAAGCTAAGGAAGAGCTGGCATCCCTATTAGCCACAGAGGGGCGGGACGGAGGCGGGGCTCGAGGAGGCCAATCGGAGGCGAGACTTGGCCATAAGGGGCGAGGTCAGGATGAAGCTTCTCAGGAGTGGAGTCGGCTTGCACTGGGCCTGGAAGGGGCGGGGCCTGTGGGCCGGAAGGAAGCTCCGCCTCCTGTGCCGGAGGCTGCGGTGCAAATCACGGCCCCACTCCGTGGGCTAGTTCTTACCTCGCGCCCATCCAGGCTGCTGGGTTAGTTTGAGGAAGTAGGTGCGTCTGGGACTTGTGACTGGCCCCCCGTGACCGGCCCCCGTGACCGGCTCCCGCGACCCGACACACAGAGGCTCCTCCACGCAGCCACATGGTCTCCCTGGTGGCACTGCTGCTGGGCGCGCTGCTGTGGGTCCCTGGCGGGGCGCTGCGCTGTCTTGGGGAGACGGGGAATCCTGTGGACTGGTGAGCGAGGGCGGGCAGGGCAGGCAGGGCGGGGAACCGCTGGGTCGCTGCGCCTCGCGGGGAGCCTGGCCCTTTTCTCCCCTCCAGCCTCCCGTGCTTTCCCACCCTGCAGGTTCGTGATCTATAAGTTGCCGGCCCGGAGTGGCCCCGGGAATGAGGCGTGGAGGGGACTGAGCTACCGCTACCTGGACGGGAGCTTGGGGGGCTGGCGCGATGGCGTGGGGCTCATCAACAGCTCCCAGGGTGCCTTGGGCCGCAGCCTGCAGCCACTGTATCGGGCCAACGCCAGCCAGGTGGGGAGCAAGCCGGACCTGGGAGGGAGTTTGGGGCGCTCTGCCACAGGGGGGCCTTCACGATGCCCATCCATTGCCCCCAGCTCGCCTTCCTGCTGTACAATGACCAGCCATCCGAACTGGCCTGGGCTGCCGACGTTTCCAGCCATGGGCATTCGAAGGGTGAGATCTTGATTTCGGGCTCCAAAAGGGCTTTGAGGTCCCAGCGATTGGATTCAGCTCCAGCACTGGGCTACATTCTCACTTCTTTTTTTTGGTTTTTCTCTGGTACTGGGAACCGAACTCACGACCTTGCGCTTGCCAGGCAGGCGCTTTTGCTGCTGAGCTAAATCCCCAGCCCATTCTCACTTCTTTTTAAAAAGGGAGGCTCAAACTAAAAGCAGGCGTGGTTGTGCACAAGGTAGGATCAACAGGAAGAATTTGAGGCCAGTCTAGGCTACATAGTTCAAGGCCAGCATGAGCTACATAGGGAGACCCTGTCTCAGAAAGCCAAAAAACAAAACAAACAACCAGCAGATGGGCACGGTGGCGCATGCCTGTAATCCCAGCACTCCGGAGGCTGAGGCAGGAGGATCACTGCAAGTTGGAGACCAGCCTGGGCTACAAAGTGAGCTCAAGGCCAGCCTGAACTGCATAGCAAGACCCTGTCTCAAAAAGACAAAAACAAAACAAAACAAAAACAAACAACCAACAACAATAAAAAAAAAAACAAAAACAAAGTCTTCCTAAACCCATGCTGGGCTCAAACTTTCAATCTTCCCGCCTTAGCTTTCCAGAGTGCTGGGATGAAAGGCACACACCACTATTTCAGGCTTCCAAAGTAACTTTTGACGTGCATAGAGTGTGGGGACCTGCTCTGGGGTCTGACAAGCCTGAACATATTTCCTATCAGTCCCCTGTCCAGGTCCCCTGCAGACTGAGGGTGTTCCTGTTTGCTGATGAGTTTGCTCAAGGGGAAGGTCTTGAGCACCCCTCCACACCTCCCTCTTCTGCTGCAGGCATCGTGCTCCTGGACCAAGAAGGGGGCTTCTGGCTGGTCCACAGCGTGCCACGCTTCCCGCCACCTCTATCCTCTGGTGCATACAACTGGCCTCACAGTGCCCAACACAACGGGCAGACCCTAATCTGTGTGTCTTTTCCCTTCACTGAGTTCACAAAGATTGGTGAGTAGAGTCAGGGGCCAGGGCGCGGCTTGGATCGGTGGATGAGAAGTGGCAGTGATATGATCTCGAGCTTCCTCTTCCACTTGCCCTCCAGGCAGGCAGCTGGCCTACATCTTCCCCTTTGTCTATGACCACCGGCTGGATGGCATCTTTGCCCAGAAATTCCCTGACCTGATGGCTGTGGCCCAGGGCCAACATGTTCGCCAGGAACCCTGGAACAGCAGTGTAACGCTCACCTCACAGGCAGGCGCTCAATTCCAGAGCTTTGCCAAAGCTGGAAAGTTTGGAGATGGTGAGCTGGGTGGCTGAGCGATGATAAGCTCTTCCTTTGCAGAGGGGTTGTCTGGTGGGTGTGGGGCTTAGGGCAAGCCAGGGACAGGGACCAGGTCACTTTAGAAGCCATAATCATGTGAGAGGCGCACAAGCAACACAGCTGGATGCACATATTGGCTTCAGTGTGATATATGACTTAACCTGAGCCTCAGTTTACTCATCTAAAAAGTGGGGGCAACCACCCTTAAAGATTGCTATGAATGAAGCAAGGCATACAAGGGATTTGGTAAGAACTCTCGATGCCGTTCTGGAGCCGCTGAGAATTGACCTTTGACCTCTGAGAAGGGACTTGGCCCAGGGAATCTGTAGAGGGGCCCTGCCTCTGCCTATACTTTTTCCTTTCTCTGCAGATCTGTACTCTGGCTGGTTGGCAGAAGCTCTTGGCACAGACCTACAGGTTCAATTCTGGCCAAATTCTCCAGGTATCCTGCCATCCAACTGCTCTGGTCCCTGGAAAGTTCTGAATGTCAATCAGATAAGCTTCCCTGGGCCGGGTGGGCCAACCTTCAGTTCCACAGAGGACCACTCCAAGTGGTGTGTGGCCCCAAGACAGCAGTGGGCCTGCGTAGGTGATATGAATCGGAACCATGGAGAGGAGCATCGGGGCGGGGGCACGTTGTGCGCCCAGCTGCCGGTCCTCTGGAAGGCCTTCCAGCCCCTGGTGAAGGCTTTCAAGCCGTGTGAGGGTGACCCCAGGGGCAGGAAGGCAGGAGAGCAAAGAACAAAGGCTCAGGAACCAGTCTGGACTTGAATTTGTTCTTTTTGTGGTGCTAGGGATGGATCCCAGGGTCTGTGCACGCTAAGCAAGTGCGCTACACTGAGCTACATCCAATGCTGGACTTGCGATTTTTTTTTTTTTTTTTTTTTTTTTTTT